ACGCAATGTGTTCTATGGCATAGGACACATTCTTTATGTACGTTAGGGAGTCCCCAATTGTTGGTGTCTCTCCTCCGCTAACAGTGATGGATCCATATTCGATGAAATTAATACTATTGATAGGAGCCCTTAAATGGTGTTTTTTTACACAGAATGCCATCGAAGCTAAGATGACCTGTCACAAACGTCCAGTTTTGATATTTGGTCAGTGCGTCAGTCACTCGTAGTTCATTTATGAACGCTGCCTAAAAAGTTTGAAATTCGCTTCGTTCATGATGGTATAAGTAACGGTAGACCACTCAGTTCAATGGATGCGGTGAGCGCTTAGAGTGTCATGCAAAAGTACGGAAAAACCTAAAAAGAGCACCCGACAGCTAGTTCATGAATACAGTACCTCCAAGAGTGCCGACCACAGAATTGATGAATAATGACGTTTTTAATCACTACAGGCTGCTCGTCTGCAGAAGCTTCAGTTCAACGATGAAAATCGACGAGAGTAACTCTGTTATCGTTTTCAATCAGGGGATTCTCTCCACCGATGAAGTCATATTCGTTCAGGAGGAGTAATTAAGTGCCTCATTTCTATGACGTGGCAACCTGCGCCACTCTGTTCTATGTCTGAGTGCTGTGGCTTGGGTTGGTAGAAAAGGAGTAAGACAATTGTACTATGTCTTATGCGAAACAATTCGGGCGAATTTCTTATCAAAATTAACCAGTTCACCCCCAACTAGAGCAGTCCTAAGTTAAGTGCTGCAACAAAATTCGATTCCTGTTATACGGCCTTATATTACGCGATCATAAGACGAGGAAAACCTCTGCGGAATAACCGCAGAATATTGATTTAGGGAGCAAGTGGTGTTGCTAGTACTATATTTTTTGCTCAGCAGTCCCACCAAAATACTCGCTAAAATTTTGGCGCTGATCCTAAGCAATCGTGTTCTAGGCGTCAAAGTTCAAGTTCCTTGCCTGATAATTCCCCTAATGATTACCCTACTATTTATATCTGGAGTTCATAACCCAAACAAGCAATGAGGGACCGGGGATTCACTGAGTAGACGAAACCTACGAAACCGGTGAAATTCGCATCTGGGTCCATGAATATTACAAAAGTCGAGAGTATGGTGGAGACATTGGCCGAGCGGAAAAGAGACTGGCGAGAAAAAAAATCGAGGCCTGGCAAACGGACGCCAACTCCATCAACCGCAGCGTCGACCTACCGGCGCCATACGAGGCCGCCAGACACCATTGAGGATAGTGAAGTGTGGAACACCTGGGCTTCGGTCCCGCGACGTGTTGGTAAGATGTCCAGCGCCTCTACTACTGAGCCGCGGGCTCGTCTGACCAACTGTTCGCGCGATCGTGACCCAGGTATTCCACACTTTGGGTGCGATCTCAGGAAGCTTAGTTGTATTATCCTGACGTCCCAAAAGCGAACAAGCTTCCATCGTCGGAGGCGAGTGCGGTATCGCGCCTCACAGTATTTGTAGGTGGGTGACAGTCGTGTTAAGCCTGTATGCAGTCAGCGTGGCAGGGAGGAAGGGGCGGGGAGGGCGGAGTTCTAGAGCGTTTTGCCGCCGGATGAGGGGTGGTGTATTAAGTTTAGTGGTCATCATCCGCATGCATAATGGGACTGTGGCGGCCGGAGAGGAAGGGAGGGTGACTTAATGTACTCAATCTACGTCGGGGATTGTCGTTCGTAACTTTAT